CACTTCAGCTTGAATGATGAAAAATCGATCCAAAAGACTGTACAGCTGGCCAAGAGAACTATAATCTAAGCAGAGGAAAGCAAATTACGATATATTATAAAATAGGTGACGATACTCGAGCCTGCTGAAAACTTACTTCTCGACCGGCGGTGATGGTTGCATTGTTTGTTCTCGTAAAATCGAGCTATTCCAGACCGTTGTATTGAGAGTGTTCTGGGCACTCGCTAAAACAGAACGTCCAATGCCTTGGCCAATATCCTTGGTTCCAATGGTGCTGCCCGTGCCAATGGGGCCAATTTTGACCGCATCCTGAGCTGAACCAGTAGAGCGCATTGCTCCTGCTGGATTACCGCGCTCATCTTTTGAAGCAGCAGCTGCTTTTTTCTCCAATCTCTTCGCTTGCATCCGAGCCTTTCGTCGTTCAATTTTCTCTTTTTCCTTCATTTTGCGTCGCTCCTCCTAAAAAAACGCATGAACAGTCAAATGATGAGTCAAACCATCATCCTTCCAAAGCCAAATCTTATCCCTCTGGAGAATCCATTCACACTCAACGCGGTGCAAGAAGTAATCAAAAGCAGTCTGAGTAACAGACTTCCGTAAAAGCAACTACCCTCTGGTAGAGCTCGCAAATATTTTGTCCCTCTTCAAAAAATTCATTGAAAACCATCTGATGGCTGAATAGCTTCCTCGCACATTAAGAACGGCAATACCAAATGGAAATGAATCAGACTTAGGAAGACCGGTTCCCCACTTTTCCTATAGGCGGATCTAGGCGGTGGGCGATGGGTTTTTTGCCCCTCCCCCCTTTCCTTCCCGGCGGCACGGGCAGCAGTGCTAAAACTGTAGAAGACTCTGTTCCATGCCCCCGGTTCCCCTCTCCTCCTCAGCAGCCTCACTCCTCCCTCCTTCCCTGGTCATCGCCGCACCTCTTCTTACAAAGCCGCCCTGGGTTCGCCTGTGCTTTTCCCATTAACGAATTCGACTTAAGCCTTACCGTAGGCATAGTTACTCAAGCTCACTAGCAATATCGGACTGGATCAACATAGACGCTCTTCCCAGATCTCAGCTTGAGGATTGGAATGCATCGAAGCTGCGGATCTACTTGTCAAAAAGACAAGCTCGCAATTCAAAAGTGGAGCCAAACACAAACAACAGTATGGATGGAAGCAAAAAAAAACCCCACAATCACCTAACTCAAATGCATACATACCTGTGACACCCCCGAAATCT